TTTGCAATGAGTAAGTCATTGATTTTACAAAATTCAATCATTCTATCTCCAGCCTCATTCCTGTCACCAAGCCCATGTTTTCCGACAACCGATTCTTCTTCACTATTCCCAACTTTTGCATTCCAGTCACCCATTATTATCAATGCATCTTGATTGCATGTTCGATCTATCATGTTCAATCAGTCTTTAACTGCTCCCTAATATTAGAAGATAAAATAATCCAGTGTAATCTTTTTGCAAATCCTTTCTGTCCACTTTCATGTCTATATCACTTGAACATATAAAATATAAGCAGAAAGAGAAGAGTAAATGATATCCAAAAGATTACATAGGATAAAATGATGGGGTTGCATCTTTAAGAAAAACCGTAAGAATAAAATTAAAATTAAAGTCAAGCAATATTCTATAGTTGTGACTTATTGGGTAAGAACATGAGACAATATTTTTTGGCCTAAGACTATAAAATGAATGGGTATATATGACATGTCCTAATTTTATAATGAGTTTTTTTGGAAAAAAAATACACCATGAAAACTCAGCAATCTAGTTATGGTATTATAAAACATAAACATGCAACAAAGTGTCTGAAAAAAAATCACACAAAAAACATAATTCTCTCTGTAGCTTAAAATAAATATAATATGGACATTTTTAAAGATTATGGAAACAAAATAAAAAGTAGGGAATGGAAAAAGTAGTACATAGTATAAACTTGTGTATGCATACCTGAAATTCTCGAAGAAGAGTTGATATATTTGCTTCATTTGCTAAATTTGTCAGAATTTCAAGCTATGGTAGAAAAGCAAGAGAATCGCTGTTACATGTATTTTGCTACTGTGATTATTTGGAAAAAAAATAATAAATTAAAACCACATGAGGAAGATAATTGTGTGATAAGCTAAATACTAGGTTTTGTGGTTATTTTTTTGAGTCACATACTCAGAAATGTTATAAGACATTATACTCATTAGAAGAATTTAGTCTATTTTCACTTGATCCTTAAATACAAAATATATTAAGAACTCGATTTAAAAAAATCAGGGAAAAGTTAATGCTACATTTAGTTGTACATTTTTTTCCAAAGTATTTTAATTTTCTAAATTTAATTCCTATACACTGTACAAAATACACAGGAAGTGAAAATTTAACACAAAAAACATTCTAAGAGCTACAAAAAAATATACACAGTGAAAATCAAATCTCTTTTCCCCATTGGTTTTCTAACAATTTAGGGGAAATCATTATTAGCTGCTTATTATAACTTCGGAGATATTTTATGTTTATGTATAATGTTGGTTTTGAGTCCTGCTGAGTCCGAATACACCCATATCTGACCCTCTGGCAGGTTTTCAGAAGCATTCAATTGTGAGAAGCTGGTGGACTTGAACTGTGTGCCTTCTAAACTGCAGTGCAAAAAGAAAATTGCAAAAGGTACATGTATAGTTCTGTATTCCACTCTTTTTTTGAAGTTAAAAATCTGTGCCATCAAATATTTTTCTATCATTAAATGAAACTTTTCTCAAGCATTTTAACTGTTTCTTAAATTTTGTTTAGTTACTGTTGAGAATATACACAACAAAGCACTGTACAAATTCAGTAATTTTTACATGTACAATCAATTTTGTGATACTGATTATATTCTTTAAGCTGTATAACCATTCTCATCTTCCATTCCTGAGCTGTTCCTCTATTATTAACATAAACTCACTAATCGTGAAAGTTCCTATTTAAACCTTTGACTTTTCAATTTGATCCATATAAATTGTTTTCAGAAGAGGATAATCTCGTGGCAGATCACTGAACTAGTTTTGGTAAACCATTTTCACTTGTGGTATGATTTTAGGAACTATTTTCATTTAAAAGTTAATTTCAGAGCAATAGTTTAGGAGATGCAGCCAACCCCTGCTTCAGAAAAAAAAATCTCAGTTTGAAACTGTCTGCTTTTCTCCCCTCTTTTGACCAAGAATCTATGAATCTCTGATCAAAATGTTCAATCAGAGCACAATGTTCAGCACATTATCCAGTTCTTCTGGTCTAAGTCAAGGGAGGCAGTTGTTTGTGGAAGAAATTATCCACACATCACGTACTGCAAAAGGAGCAGATGTAACACAGCAGTGGCAAAGTCTGACTACTGCTCGCTTCAAAAAGGGTAACTATCCCCATTAATAATATCCATAGCTGCAAACAGATAGCTAGCCACTAGGTCAGACATGCCACCCCTATGTTCGGCAACTATTTCCACAAATCAGTTGTTTTAGTATTTGTTTCTGTCTCAAAGACTTTACTCACAGTTGTGGTACCAAGAGTGGGAGGGAGGGGGTTTACTGGGAAATAGGTTGGCGAGTGGGAAAAGCATAGCATATCTCACAATGCAAGTCCAGGTTTAGTCCAGCAGTCCTAAACCAGATTAACAACAAAACACAATTCCTCAATTAGTAAAAGTCCTGGTTTCAGTTCAGCCTCTGGTTTCCTTAATCATCCAGCAAGAACAACTAAACTTCTAACTGTGGACTTAATCTCCGAGCTCCTCTGGTTATACCTTGCCACAGTTTCTCCATAGCAATTTCCCAGTAGCTCCACCACCATCATCACAGTCTTGAGATCAAGGTCTCACTCTCGTCTTCAAGTCTTTTTCTCAGTGCAGGAAACTTGCTCTTTAACTCACTGTCTGTGTCTGTCTGTCTCTCTCTCTCTAGTCCCACAGCTATTGATGATTTGCAAGACCATGTGTGTGCAGTTAAGGTAGTTGGATCTACCTTAGAAGTGGCTAACATAATAGCTACAAAAGCCAACTTTAATGCTTACACCACACATGTCCTTCTCCTATTCTTGGCTCTGCTGCTTCCTCTGTTGCACCAGGAGACTAAAGATGAAATACTGTGCCTTGGATGTCAGATATAAATCCACAGACAAAAACGAAAATGTCTAAATGTCTGGGATAGTAAGAATTCCAAATACAAAATAATGAATCCAGAATCACACCTCACACCAAACATGTAAATCAATTCAAAATGGATAGAGGACCTAAAACTGAAACAATAAAAATCCTTAGAATAAACATAAGAATAATGCTCTGAAAGCTAGTTTGCATGATCAATTTCTCTAATGTTTGTCCCAGATGTACAATTTACATCTAATTGACATAAACAATTTAAACTATTATTTTTTCATTTAAAAAGTTTGTAAATAATTTGCTCTCTGCACTGTACTTTCCATATTCCTATTAACATGTTCTCCAGTATCCTTCCATCAAAAATATATTAAATCTGTCATCTGGATTTAAATATGTGTGTGTGTGTGAGGGGGGTTTCTGTGAACTAAAAGTACAATTACAGTAGATTTGCTAATGTGTTTTATATTTTACTCATACAAACTACTCAATCTGAATGAATATATCAATGTTATAAAATATTTACGAGTGGTTAAATAAATGACAACATCTCTGTAAACTTTGACTCAAGTCACAACAAGAGTTTGAGGGGGAAAGTACATAACCTAAATAATTAAACTGAAATACAGATTATTGTCAGACTACCTATAAATATAAGCTTAAGCTACTAAGGAGAATTGACGCCTTGGAGCTCTGGTGCTGGAGAAGAGTATTGAATGTACCATGGACTGCCAAGAAAACAAACAGATTCATCCTAGAGAGGGTTAAACCAGGCTACTCCTTGGAGGCAAAGATTCTGGGGCTTCATCTGATATACTCTGGACAAGTTGCAAGGAGAGACAGGTCTCTGGAGAGGGACATCATGCTGGGTAGAGTAGAGGGACAGTGCAGGAGGGGAAGACCCTCTATGAGGTGGATTGATTCAGTGACTGGGGTAATCGGGATGGGTGTGTCAGAGGCAATGAGATTGGCACAGGATAGAGCAAGGTTTAGGGCTGTTGCACATAGGGTCGCTATGAGTCGCAAACGACTCGACGGCACATAACAACAACAAACAATAACAACTAAAAAAATTTTCAGAATCCATAAGCAGATGGATATGAGACACTGTAAAAATAAAGCAAACACATCTCCATCCCTAAAATGGAAACAGATATAGCAGAGTTTTATAATTTTTAATGTAATTGTGCATTTGTCATGAGAAGAATTATGGAAAAGATTAAGGCAAATTTAGCAAAAACCATTATAGCATAGGATAAAGAGATTAAAAGAAAAAAAATACACTGGTTAAAAAATAAAAAGAAAAAGAAACCTTTACTTATATTGAGGGATAAAAACAGAAAAAAATTAATTTTATAAAATGTAACATCATCATCATGATCATCATCACCATCATCACAATCATAATATACTCAGGATAAATTTCATCAAAGAAGTGACTTATGCATTGAGAACTATAAAATATAACTAAAAGAAATTTTAAGAGATCTAATTAATGGATGGACAGGCATTATATATTCATATATTAGAAGACTTAATATTGTTAAGATGTCAGTACAGTTTAGGTTTCAACTATATATTCAATTTTTAACTATTCCAACAGGCTTCTTTGTAGAAATTAAAAAGCCAGTCCTTAAATTTATATCAAAGGGATCCCAAACAGCCAAAGCAACCACAGATAAAAAAACAAACAAACACCCACAAAGCCATCTGGGGAGGGAGAAGAATAAACTGGGAAGACTCATATTTCCCAAGCAAAAAACACACTATAAAGCTGTACTACAAAGGTGCTTATGATCCAAGCTATGGTCTTTTCAAATCTTTACTATACATCTAAAAGTTGGGACAATGAATAAAGATGATGGAAGAAGAATTGAGACCTTTGAATTGTGGTGTTAGAAAAGTACCAGTATCCCATGGACTGCAAAAAGAAAAAAACAAGTCTGTCTGGATGAAGTACCACCAGTGTGTTCCTTGAAGGAAAAGATGGTGAAACTTTTTCTCACATACTTCAGGCATATTGTCAAGAGGGGTTTATCTTTCAGAAAATGTATCATTTTGTAAAGGTAGACTCAGAGAAAAGAGAGGAAGAGCTCCATCAAGATGGACTAGCACGTGACTGCAACAATGAGCTCAAATCTATCAGAGATGATGACGATGGCACAGGGTAGGGGAAAGTTCCTATCTGTTGATTATAGGGTCACTATGAGTCAGTCACCTCAATGGCATCTAACAATAACAATTAAAAATAAAAACCAATAGGTTAGAATTGATGTACAAAAAATTGATGTAGAAAAAAAATCTGTGTATCAAATTAATTTTAAACCAGGGTGATTAGTCCATTCAATAGGGAGAACAACAGTTTCTTTAACAAGTGATACTGGTATAATTGAATTTTCCACGTTGGGAAAAAGTGAGCCAGATAATGCCTAATAAATCACATTATGCAAAGACATTTGGCTGTGTGTATCGTAACAAAATACAGCTAATAGTGAGAAGAATGGGAATCCCAAAACACTTAACAGAGCTCATGCAAAACTTATACCTAAAAAAAAAAATTTTTTAAAAAAAAAAACCAAAAAACAAACAACCTATACCTAGACTAAGAAGCTGATATTTGAATAAAGCAAGGGAACTCTGCATGGTTTCAAATTAAGAAAGGTGTGCATCAGGCTTGTATCTTTTTGTTATACCTATTATAACTGTTGTTGTTCTGTGCTGTAAAGTTACCTGTGACTAAACAACCCTATGCACAATAGCTCTGAATGTTATCCTATCCTGAGACAGTTTCTAAAATATGCAAATCCATTATCCTAGTTACCGTGTCAACCCATCTCACCTTAGGCCTTCTTCTCTTGTTCTGCCCTTACACACTTACAAGCATGATGTCCTTCTCCAA